AAATAATAGCAAATGAAGCAACAAAGGATTAATCTCAAAAATATACAAGCAACTCCTCCAGCTCAACTCCAGAAAAATAAATGACCCAATCAAAAAATGGGCCAAAGGTCTAAACAGACATTTCTCCAAAGAAGCCATACAGATGGCTAACAAACACATGAAAAGATGCTCAACATCACTCATTATCAGAGAAATGCAAATCAAAACCACATTGAGGTACCATTACACGCCAGTCAGGATGGCTGCTATCCAAAAGTCTACAAGCAATAAATGCTGGAGAAGGTGTGGAAAAAAGGGAACCCTCTTACACTGTTGGTGGGAATGCAAACTAGTACAGCCACTATGGAGAACAGTGTGGAGATTCCTTAAAAAACTGGAAATAGAACTGCCATATGACCCAGCAATCCCACTCCTGGGCATACACACCAAGGAAACTAGATCTGAAAGGGACACGTGTACCCCAACGTACATCACAGCACTGTTTATAATAGCCAGGACATGGAAGCAACCTAGATGCCCATCAGCAGACGAATGGATAAGAAAGCTGTGGTACATATACACAATGGAATATTATTCAGCCATTAAAAAGAATTCATTTGAATCAGTTCTAATGAGATGGATGAAACTGGAGCCCATTATACAGAGTGAAGTAAGCCAGAAAGATAAAGACCAATACAGAATACTAACGCATATATATGGAATTTTAAAAGATGGTTATCGTTAGATAACCCAATATGCAAAACAGAAAAAGAGACACAGATGTACAGAACAGACTTTTGGACTCTGTGGGAGAAGGTGAGGGTGGGATGTTCTGAGAGAACAGCATTGAAACAAATATACTATCAAGGGTGAAACAGATCACCAGCCCAGGTTGGATGCATGAGACAAGTGCTCGGGCCTGGTGCACTGGGAAGACCCGGAGGGATGGGATGGGGAGGGAGGTGGGAGGGGGGATCGGGATGGGGAATACATGTAAATCCATGGCTGATTCATGCCAATGTATGGCAAAAACCACTACAGTATTGTAAATTAATTAGCTTCCAACTAATAAAAATAAATGAAAAAACAAACAAACAAACAAACCTACCTTCAGGGCAGCACAGGAGATGCAGACGTAAAGAACAGACTTATGGACATGGGGAGGCGTGGGGGAGAGCATGGGATGAGTGGAGAGAGTAGCATGGAAACCTATACCCTACCATATGTAAAATAGCCAGTAGGAATTTGCTCTATGATTTAAGGAACTCAAACCAGGGCTCTGTGACAATCTAGAGGGGTGGGATAGAGTAGGAGATGGGAGGGGGGTTCAAGAGTGGGGAAATATATGTATACCTATGGCTGATTCATGTTGATGTATGGTAGAAATTTACACAATAGTGTAAAGCAATTATCCTTCAATTAGAAATAAATAAATAAATAAAAATAAAAACACTTTTCAAAGATATGCCCAGGAGAAGTGTGTGTTTCCAGTGCTGCTTCCAGGTATATATGTGATAGGAACAAGAAGTTACTAACCTTGGGATCAACTTAAGAAATGGGAGAAAATGAACTAGCATATTTTTCAGTGTCTACCATGCACTTGACATGTCCAAGATCCCCATCTGATAAGTGATAGAATCAGCCCTCAACCCTGACTCTAGCCAATTTTAGTCTAGTTAACCCCAAACCAAATGGCCTCCCCTATCAATCATGTGTGTTTTATATTCTTACCTGTACCTTGGTTTTCTGTCAAACTTCTATCTTAAATAGAAGATCAGTCAAACACACATAAGCCTATTTTAAAAATCCCTCTATATTTTATTTTAAAACACTGATTCTAAAATATAGAAGAATTACAGAAAAAAACAATAAAAATAAAAAAATTTTAAATAAAATAAAAACAAAGAAAATCAAACATAAAGTATAAAAGAATTACATAAAACTTCTTTCCCAAAAAGATTTGGAATAAAGGACAAATTAAAAATTTACTGTTCAAGGTGCCTCGTTAGCGCAGTAGGCAGCGCGTCAGTCTCATAAAAATTTACTGTTCAAAGACTGCCCCCTGGTGGCCAGAGATAATAAACCCTCTAAAAAACAACCCTTCATAGAAAAGATACGGAAGACCCCCAAGAGCCTCAGTTCCCTTTTGGTTAGCAAAGAATGATAATCTGTAACATTACATGAGAAAACAGTACCATGTTTATGTTCTGCTAATTATGATCCATGTGATATACTATGCTCACAGACTGGCAGCATGATATCTATCAGAACATTTCCAAAAGCCAGATGTAGTCTCAACAGACCACACACTTGACCATTAAACCCAGCTGCAGCAGCAGCTGTTTCCTGTTTTTCAGAGTATGACACGTGGTTTCATTCCTTCATCCCAGTTTTACTGGGATCCTATTAATTGCAGGTACACTGAATTTTATTGCATACACAGCAGAGAACTAAAGAAATAGCATCTGTTCTAGAGAACCTTGTGTTCTGGTGAGAAACAAGGTCCCCACCCTCTTAGGCTGCACATCTGTGACCTACATGAGCCCCAGAGTCGGGTGGCTGTGAGCAAAAAACTTTTATTTGCAGAGGGCACCTTTTTTCATTCAGGTGAGACATACACTAACAGCTTCTCAGGTGGGGTATTCAGATAGTGGTGCCTATTGGGACCTCTCTTCAAAATCTTGGGTCTCTCCCCTTATGCCTGACAAGCTGGAGGGATCACAATTTAGTATGTGACCTATTTCCTCCCCTTGTTTTCTCACGAATATTTTCCCCTTCATGGTTTCTTAAAAGCAAAAGTAAAGGTTTTTCCAGTCCCTAGTCACTAGGCAATCCTCTGAGTATTTGCTAACCCAGAGAATTTGTTAATAAGAATGGAAATGCTCTCAGTAGCAGATACAAATCCAGCTGCTCTACTGACTTTTTAGCAACTCCCAAAGCCCCTTCCTCTGCCCTGGCCCTGGCCTCCTACCCCAGAATACAACCAATGAAAGAGCAGCAGAAGCCAGTGGTCTACTGGGGAGCCAGCACATGCAAGTGACTCAGGACCCTGGCAACTCTAGCCAGTGTTAAGAGTACATCTTACAGCTTCTAGAAAAGTTTCTGCAAAAGGTCCTCGGCTAGTAACTATTTAACTTGAATATGATAGTTTTCCCTCCAATCAAGGCAAACAGTACAGGCCAGGGGTAGGAGCAGGGGGTTGTGTCAACTTTCGATTTGTGGCTGCCAGAAGCCCCGGACTGTGCCTCCTTTTTAGTCTCAGATCCCAAGACTATGGCATGGGGTGAAGGGAGCGATGAGTGTGTTGGGATGATGTGTGCAGCCCATGTGAGTGGTAAATATATACTGTTTTGTAAACTGATCTCCTCTGTTCCATGTAAGTCTAGTGGGGCCATCAGTCCTACAGCCCTCCACCTCTCACGCCTCAAGATGGCCCTGTTCCTCAAGATGGCCAGAGTGCATCATCCTCCTCAGAGGTACACTGGTTAGTCCAGACCCAATTATGTGACCTAAGAAGAAGAGTCAGGGTCCTTTCTCCACTTTGGCAGAAATGTCAGGGTCAGGGACTGTCCTCTCTCTCTGAGGCCCAAAGCTACTTTTGTTGCCCTCTGGAGAGAGTTAACACAGGAAGCCAGAACCAAGCAACGCAAAGTTCTAATGACATCATTTAAACCCCTAGATTCGGCTATGCCCGGTGCTTCCCCATCAAGGGTCCAGAAACAACATAAAGTGAGGCAGATGTGGACTTGTTCTAAAACTTCCTTTACGGTCAAGGCAGGGATGTAAAGGATCTCTGTGCTGTAGAAAATTCATCTGCCAATTTTGGTCTTGGAAAAAAAGGAGACCTTGGGGACATAGCAACAGGAGCTAAGTAGCCAGGGCCTGAAGCAAGCTGTAAGGCCCTCACACAGCAAATGCTAAATTGCTTGTGATTATGGATGACTTTTTTTGCTTCCTGTATTTTTTTTGTTTGTTTTCTTATTATGCACATGTCAGCTTCTAGAAATAAATGTTATTTTTAAAACCTTAAAAAATGAAAATTAAATTAAAAAGTTGTAGGTCCCTCTTATAACTAAGAGGGACTTTAGGTATTATCCAGGCCAAGGCTCCAGTTTTAAATATGAGAAACCAAAACCAGAAGGGAAAAAGAAGTTACTTGAGAGAATACTCGTTAAGGCCTCACAGGTCAGATGGGGGTCAGAGTTTAGTAGAGAAAACTAGGATTGATGAGTGTTAGACCATTGGAGTACCTGAGCCTTTCACACTGATAATTTTTTAATCCTCAGTCAACCTGGGATTACACTTTCTAGCTCAGTTTTCACAGATGATAAAATTCTGACCAGAGAAGTTAAATAACTACCCCAGCATCACACAGCTTATGTGGAACAGAGCTGAGCTTCCAACACAAGCCTAAATCCCTTTATTCCTGCTCTACCTTTAGATAAAGAAAATATTATGAAATAAGACAAGAAGCAAGTGGGATTTAGCACTGATGCCATTCCTTAATCTTAAATAAGATGTCAGTAACTTGAGAGCATCTGGGAAGAGCCAGGAAGACTTCCAATACAGGCCAAGATCTGGTTTGAACTGCTAAATGAGCCCTTTAAACCTCCAGGTCCCAGCAGCTTTCTAAAAAATGACAAAGTTGAAATAGATGGTCTCAAAATAAATTTGCAAAATGGAACAGGGAAAAGGAATTGAGTAGTGAGTGGCCCAGAATCCTAGAACTCCTTTGCCACTGCCTGGGGCCCAAGCTCTTTCCTTCCCTGAGGTCTGGGTAGAAGACAGCTGCCAACAGAGGAATTGGCAGCATTTGAGGATGTCACTGATTTGATGAGTCACTTGATAATTGCTTACACAATGTTCACTTATCAGCCCCTCCCTGAATTGAAAGCATCAGAACCCTAATCATTAGGAGACTCTAAGACCCAAAGCTCATTCCTTGGTGATAGCTTGTTTGTCTTAAAAAAAAAACAAAACCAGATATAAGATATGAATAATAACTAAGGAGGAAGAAGAGGATGAAAATGGTAGTAGCATCGGAGCTGGGAGATAAGGACAAAGACGCTTCCGATAATGAAGGTCCTCTCGGAAGCTGTGGATTGGAAAAAGATCACTTTTCCTCTGGTGATGACGCAGTGGAAGCTGACAGCGAAGATGAAGCTGAACCCCGTGAGGATGACAATGACAGTGCCGCAGAGGCTAGTGTGGGGACTAATGCGGGCTGGGCAGATGCCATGGCTAGAATCCTGAACAAGAAGATTCCTGAGAGCAAACCCGCCATCCTGGTCAGAAACAGAGAGCTGGAAAAGGACAAAGAGAAGTTAAAACAAGAGAGATTAGAGAAAAGGAAACAGCTTGATAAGAAGCGGGAATGGGAAATGATGTGCAGAGTAAAGCCAGATGTTGTCAAAGACAAAGAAACGGAGAGAAATCTTCAGAGAATTGCTACAAGGGGTGTGGTGCAGTTATTTAATGCCGTTCAAAAGCATCAAAAGAATGTAGATGAGAAGGTTAAAGAAGCTGGAGGCTCTATTAGAAAACGAGCTAAGTTGATATCCTCGGTTTCCAAGAAGGACTTCATCAGTGTTCTGAGAGGGATGGATGGAAATGCAAGTGAGAAGACTTCTGCTGGGAAGAACTCGAAAGCCAAACAGACTGAAGCAAAATCAGAAGAGGGCCCAGGATGGAAGATCTTGCGTGATGATTTCATGATGGGCGCATCCATGAAAGACTGGGACAAAGAAAGTGATGGAGCAGATGATGGCAGACCGGGGTCTGGGAGTGACTGACACATAAAGCTACATAAGAAGCTCAGTTTACATTTTACTTTCCTGGAAAAACAGTTCATACTCTGAAGGTTGGGAAATTATGAAGATTGCATTTATAAGAAAGCCAAAAGACTTCCATTATTTACCAACTTTGGTGTTTCCTTTTTTCATGTAAACTTTATTAAAATTATATTTCAAACTTAAAAAAAAAAAAAGATATGAATAATAGATTACTCCATTTCAGAGAGGCTAAATGACTTTGAGAGCCTCAGGTTGCGACTTAAATTGGCTTAAGGCCTATTCTTCACACTCTCAGGTAAGACATTCGCTTGCTCAGTTTCAGGTTCCAGTTCGGCTCTATCATATCTTACCCACCTTCTCATACAGCAACAGAACTCTTTATAAACGTGACTTCTTGACTAGTAAGGATCCATCCATATTCAATTGCTTTATTTTTAACAAAGCTTCTGCCTTGCCTGGCTATGATAGAATCAAGATAAAAGAGAACATTCCTAAGGGAGAAAATACTATGATCTGGCATCACAAATGTGACTTACATGCTTTTGGTCTATTTTTTTCATGCCAGTATGCCCTGTACCTTGAGAAGACTCCACCCAATTACAACACAATGATAAATCTGGGTTCAATAGGCAAAGAAAGGTAATTTTTTTCTAGTGATAATATCAACAATATAAAAATTGAAGAAAAAGAGAAAGATAAAAAATATATATATCAACAATAGCCCACTTGGGGGAGGGAGTGACATAGGACTTATACACCTCAATATTTTGCATACTTTTTCTGGCCCTTACAAGTCATTATTTATATTTGTTCTTCTAAAAGAGCTATTATTCAAACTCACTGAGTAGCCTTGCTGAAAAGAGAATTTAGAGGTGATCACCTCACTTCCAATTTTCCTTCATCCTATCTCACACGTTATACTGTCTGAGACGCAATCTCTGTGATTGCAGCTTACCAGATGTTCTCATCTTGATTTTAATACTGATATGCTAACATTATTGATTATGTAGAAAATCAAATTGTATGCTTCTGCAATATCTTTAAAGTTCACTGGGCACTTTGTCTGAAGCTTAGTTAAATGTTCCCTTAATTCTAAGTGCACTGGCTGGGGCCCCAGCAGAATCTCTGCCTTGGTTTTAACAGTACAAGCTGCTACAAGCTGTACTGGGTCTTCAGTACAGTTTGTACTGTTAACAGACTGTACATAAGAAATACTGCCACTCCCACTGTCTTCAGATACAATCACGATGCAGCGGCTCTATTTGTGCAGATGGTCAGTACAGTTTTCCCTTGGACATTGATTAGGGTAAAGTACATTCAATGCCTTTTAGACAGTTTCTGATGAGCCTGGCAGCCAAGGTTTCCAAACCCCTCAGACCCACTGAGAATTTCCCTGTTTCTCAGGACTCCCACAGGAGTGTGGTGGCTAAACTGAGCCAGCAGCTCCTGGGCCCCAATTCCATCTCTGGCCAGAGGCCCCCGGGATGTGCATGTACCGAAGGGCTGAGGGAGGAGCATTGACACCCGAGGGAGTATCCCAGAAACCTCCTAGAAATGGAGTCTGGCCCCTGGTCCTCCACAGCGATCCAGATAGCTCCTGAAATCCCAGATACACGGTGATGACCCTTTTCGCCACTCCTAGGGAGTCTATGGAAGCACTTCAGGAATTTCATAAACTCTCTATTAATTTATATAAAATGTGTATATATACATTATCCTGGGGAGGGCCGCCACAGTGAAAGTGCAGAGTCCTAACCACTGGACCACCAAGGAACTCCCTATCATTTTTTGTTTTTTTAAATCTCATCATAGGAGAGCTCTGTGGAAGTCTCCAAGTAGGTATTACTGGAACAGAGAGACACAGGCCAGTTCTGTCACAGATGAGCCCTGAATCTCGGAAACCTAGCCATATCCAATGTATGTGATGGGCATCCAGATGCCAAGCTCCAAGAGATGTCCCTGAACTTGTAGAGACTCTTACTGATCATCCCAAGTATGGTCTGGTCCTTGAAGGGACTATTTGCCCCTGGATATCAAAGAGACAAACTCAGAAGAGGAAACACATAAATGCTCTGAGTCTCCAGCTAGCTACATTCATCAAGGTTCCAAGCGAAGCCTCCAGGACTGACCTCTGGGCAGAAAGAGGGGAGTGAGAGCCACTGAAGAGGAGCAGTCATCATCTCAACCTGGCCCCGAAGACCCCGGGCCAGAGCGGCTCCCTCCAACCCCTCCAGAAAGGGAGGGCTGGTCGCCACCGCCAGTCTCTCCCTCATGTAATGCCCAAGGATTTCCTGGATCCTGAAATAGTACTGATCTTGCAGAAGGAAGCAAGGCCCACAGCTGGCCCAGAAAGCCCACTGGAGAATGAAGTTTGTGTCCTGGCAGGGCGCAGCCTAACCTGGAAGCTTCGGAACTTCAGACGCGGAGGATACTTTGAAGCCAAGGGCTCTTTACACTGTGACTCTCAAACTTCATTGTGGGCTTAAATGTTTGTTAAGTAGTGCAGACCCCTAGGCCCAGGGGACTGTGATCCAATACTTCTGGGGTAAAACTCAGACATTTACATTTTTTTAAAAAAAAGAAACTAGTAATTGTGATCTCAGGAGTCCATAGAAGGCATACTATATACCTTTACAAACAGTTTCTCTGGGCTTAGAGGCTTCAGATGTAGAGATGGGGCTAGATCAAGTGAACCCCTTCCCCATCCCCACTACTCCCCTCAACAAAATAAAAGCAGAGGCTTCCAGTTACCTTCTCTATGCCAGATATTATGCTAAGTCTTCTACATGGATTATTTTATTTAATCCTTACCACCCTGAAGTTCAGGGAAAGTAAGTCACTTGCCTAAGATCCCTCGGCTCTGAGTACCTGAGTCAGGTTTGGGACCCAGATCTGAATCCAGAGTCTGTTCTTAACCAACAAGCATTACAGTGCCTAATAACCCGATGACTCTGAAGGAAAAGCTATGAAGCCACATCCCTTCCACAGCTGAGTCAGGGCAGAAGGCCATGGGCCACAAGGTGAGGCAGCATCAGCACAGGAGAGGACAACTGCACAGGCTCAAAGGTCCAGAGTGGAGCCAGACAGAAGGAACCAAGGATAAGTTGGGCAGACAAGGGAAGGACTACACTCCTGGAGTGCAGGAGGAGCAGCGGACATAGATGAAGAATGCTGGACAAACAGGGCTTCAGAGGAACTGACCGGCCTCCGAGAAATCAACAGAAGTCAAGGAAAGTTTCGATCAGCACAGGCCCAAGGCACCTGCAGGCCTATGGCACCTGCTGGTTAGTACCACATTTTACTGCTCAGTTGAGGGGGAATGTAATGAGTTCTGTGCACTAGAATCAAGACCCACCGTGGAGCCCAGGATCTTTTATAGATACTTAGATCTTCATCCTTTAAAGGGGCATAACAATAGGGCCTACCCCAGAGTTACACACCATGAGAAGATTTGGATAAAGGTACTTAGCATAATATCAGAAACAAAGAAATTGGACAAGTGTTAGCTGCTGTAATCATTACTACTAATTATAACTGTACTCATACTCAACCAAAAAACCACCATGGCATCTTGTTTATTTGTGAAAGAAACCAAGGTCAAATGTGGTCTCCATGGATTAAGGTTTTCCTTTCTTCAGAGAGAAGTTATTGTTAAGAAGATTTGGTGCAGGGCAGCGGGGGTGGGGGGTGGGGGTGGTTTGTTTGTTTTTTTTACAAACAAGAGCAAAAAAGTCATATCACCAAATAGATCAATAATTGTTAGATTTCCCTTCACCTTTAGTTCTGATGTTACCCAAAAATCAACTTAATCCAACTGTTCTATCCAAATTTGTTCTGAGGGAAAAGTGAAACCATGCAACTTTTTCACTCAACAACTACTTTTTTGTGCATCAGAACTGACTCTGTGACTATTAGCTGAACTCCTGATAGTTTTCAATTACCTAATCAGACAACAGACCCAAGCAGGCCAACCAAGAAGACTTGATCACTGAAATGGAACAAATATATTGCTGAGTATCTCCTTACCATCCAAGTGCTCCTGATATTAGAAGAAAATTCCATCCCTATACCTTGTCACCAGCCTGTTTGCTCAGAGTGAAGGAGAAATGATGAGACAGGCTTCCTGAGAAAGCAGCATTTGAATGATGGAAAGGAATGAAGGGGACAGAAGAAACAAAATGTCCCCTATGGAAGAGGGAAAGAGAGAGATATTACAGACCAGATTAGGATCTGAGAACAATCAGTGCCTTTGGGGCAAACAAGAAATCATTATGTCTGCTCTAATAAAACGGCACCGCCTACCTCTGAGGAGAGAATAAATGTAAAGAACAGGACTTTATAAGCAGCTCTCTGCTTCCGTATTCTGTGTTTGGTCAGTTTGAACAAGGCTTTGTTCCCCATTAGTCAGACCTGACGTGACTCCTGGAGATGGTGGGCCAGGCCTATCCCTGCCACTCTCACCAGAGAACACACCCACGACAAACCCAAATTCCTAATTCCTGAACTATTTCAGGTCACGCCATATTGTGCACTCAGAAATACAACAAGCTTTGTAAAAAAAAGAAAAAATGCATGTTTTAATTCAAGAAATGAAAGTTCACATGCAATCCAGAACAGGTGCCAGGAATTTGCTCTCAACAATCAGGCACATGTGCTACAGAAGGTCAGGCTCCGCAGAATTACTTGGACCAGTGCTTCCTGAGGTGCTCCTTCAGCTGAGGGATGGAAGGCAGCAGCTGCCGGCACTCGTGACAACGGAGGGGCAGCTTCAGAAGCTCGGGCATCCCATCTCGGACGGTCACTCTGCCAGCCTCTTGCACCATCTCAACCACAGCTGCAAGGGAAAAATGTTCAGAGTCCAGCTACTGTGGAAAGCCAAGATACAAAAAAAAAAAAAAAAGGAAAACCTGATTCCAAATATGCCAAGTATCCTTAAATCAAGTAAACCTGAGGGTTACACTCACTGTTGGGAAAATATGCTTGGACAGATTCTAAATCTGAGCAATGGGTTTTGTTTGTTTGATTTTTTGGCAGCACCACACAGCTTGTGAGATCTTAGTTCCCCAACCAGGGACTGAACCCGGGCCCTCAGCCGTGAAAGCATGGGGTTCTAATCACTAGACCACCAAGGAGTTCCCTGAGCAACCTGTTTCTGAGATAATTCACATTCCTTTAGAATACATTCTAAGCAATCCATGTTACTATGTCAAAGGCTTATTATCACAGGGCTTTACCCCTAGTTAGCCCATGGTCATAATTAACATTCCAGCATACTTAAGTTCCACAGTATACACAATGGAAAATTCTTCCTTTCTACATATAGACAGGCTTCCCCTGTTAAATAGCCACTCTTGACAGAAGGCAGCCACCAAGCTCCTCCCAGCTGCTGGCAAAAGAAAGAAAAAACTGTTCAGAGCTTTCAGATCCATGAACTCCAATAATTCTCTGGACGACCTTTTAAGCCCCCCAATGTATTTTTTCTGACTGCGACATAATAGCATTCTACATCCCCCAAGAAGGCTGCTCACAGCAAAGTGGCAATCCTACTAAAATCCAAATGATCAAGTTTCTGTTAATGGGGTTCTCTGTATAGGCAACACAAAGTTGTATGTGAGCTTTCGAAGCCAAGTTATTATTTAGGGAAACAACTGAATCAATTATAAGAACAGCTGAGAAACTAAAACAAATGTAAAAATTAAACAACACTGTTAAAAAATAAATAAACAACACTGTTTACCTTGTGATTCGAGGAAGTATTCGGTATTGAAAGAATTCCAGTGTTTTTTGTTTTTAAGGCAAGGAGAATCAAAATCCTGGCTGATCACATGGAGGTGTACATGGCTAGTTGAGAGGAAACAAAGATTTACCATTAAAGCTAGCTTAATCAGAATGCCAAAAAGTCAAAGTATGAGTATGCAAAATATTGACAGTGTTTCCACTTAACTCCATTCATTCACCTATTCACTTAAGAATATTTACTGCACATGAAGTACCTATTAGGGTCAAAAATTGTTCTAGCACTGGGAATTTAGCAGTGAACAAAATGGGAAAGGCTTATGTCCTTATAGAAATTATGCTGTAATGAAGGGAAATAAATAATTAATAAGTCAACAAATAAACAAGGAAAATTAAAAATGTTACTTCAACAATGCTAAAAAAAAAAAAAAATAGGGAGATGGGATGGAGAGTGCCTAGAGGGTAGAAGCTGTCTCTTCAGGTAGCTAGGATGTTCATGGAAAACCTCTCCCAGGCAGATTTGAACTGAGAAAGCAAAGATCTGAAAGAGTTTCAGGAAGTGGACAAACCACGTGTGAAGGCCCTGGTATGAAAAGAAGCTTGGTGCAACTGAGTGGCAGAAAGAAAATAACGGCCGGAATGGCTGGAAACAAGGAGCAGGCACTAGGGAGGAACTGGATCATAAAGGGTCCTATAGGTTAGCAGAGGGTTTGAATTTTATTCTGATTACACTGGGGAACCACTGAAGGCTTTTAAGCAGGGGGATACTATTATCTGGGCTTCCTAGGTGGTGCCAGTAGTAAAGAACCCGCCTGCCAATGGCAGGAGACATAAGAGATATGGGTTGGACCCCTGGGTCAGAAAGATCCCCTGGAGGAGGGCATGGCAACCCACCAGTATTCTTGCCTGGAGAATTCCATGGACAGAGGAGCCTGGTAGGCTACAGTCCATGAGGTTGCATAGAGTAGACACAACGGAAGTGACTTGGCCTACACACATGTGCTGATACTTTAAAAGATTACTCTGGCTACTGTGTACAGAAAGGACTATATATAGGAAGGGTAAGGATGGATATAGAGAGAAGTTAGGAGGTTGCCACAGCAGTCCAAACCAAAAATAATCATGTTTCAGACAGGAGCTATAAAGGTGGAGATGACAAGAAGCAATCCACTTTTAAATATATTCTCGAACAGAACCAACAGGAACAATTAATGGATTAGATGTGGGTTTGGGGAGGTGCCACTTGCTGGGATGAAGAAGCTTAAGGGAAAAACAGGTCTGAGGTAGAAAACCAACAGTTCTCTTTAGGACTTGTTAAACCAAAAAGGATGACTTTTTGTAAAGCTTTGACTCAGAATCAATATTTCACATTCTCCCAATAAATCATCAAAACCAACCAGTACCTTGTGGGAATTTAAAATGGTACAAGCAGTAACAAATAAACCTAACTATTACAAATAAAAAGGGAACCACACTGAAGGAGGTCAGAAAGAAAATAACTAACCTAATTAAGTTTGGAAAACAGTATTTTGACTTGATTCTGTAAAGATAAAAAGAACGCTATACAAATACTGTACTCTAGTGATTAAATGTCTTTCTCACGTGAGTGTGGATAAGCAATTCTGCAACTATTTTATGTTTATACTGGGAATGAATACATAAGTGAATTAACTGTAGCTAATGAGAGCCAAACTTCTCACTACTGGAGAAAGAAATCACAAAAAAGGAAAGGGGAAGACAACAATGAACCTGTGGAACAGGACTGATCAGAGGTATCAGCATGAACTCACATTTTTCATACACATGCACAGGTGGGTAAACAGAGAAATAAATAGAGAGGTGTATATATCCATGTGGGTTGAATTCATGCGTGTATTTCCTAGTTTCATCTGCTCAGAGAACCTAGAAGCAAAGACACTCTGGAACCAACCATTTCTCTCTATAGAAACTTCATGATCTAGTTTTGCTTTACGTCATTCTTCAATAAAAGGAACTATGGCTCTTTGGAGAAGTGGTTCATTCCAGAGCGAGAACAGGAAAAATATAAGATAAGCCTAGAATACCTTGTTACAAAAAGTAAGGGGACAGAAAAAAAGGATGTGCTCAAAAAACGTTTGGGGCATGTCAAAGTGATACAGGAACCAACCTAAAGGAATTTCCAATGACCAAGGCTGAAACAATATGAGCAAGAAACTAGAGACAGATTAAATTAAAACCCATATAATAAAATAAATATCCTTGAGTCCATACATGTATTGAATAAATACATAATGGGGGAGAAAGGACAACTCTCCCACACAGAAAAATTCCGATTAATAAATTAGAAGGAATGAGGGAAACATAAAATTACCATGGAGTAAACACTACAACAATAACTGATGCAGGCAAGATCCACCAGTAGATGCTAAAATCACTGGGAAAAAGTCTGAGGAGAAAAAAATTTAGTAGAATAATCTTAGAACATCTCCCCCCAAGATACTGATCAATTATAAGGGAAAAATAGCAAACTTTGAGTAGAAAAACCTGGCAGACACCACCTTAATAAAGTGATCAAGGTGAACATCAGGAGCAACAAACTGTCTTGATCGACATCATGCACTCCTTGATATGATGCACTAAGACACAGTATCATTTCTGGGGTATTTTGGCAAAAAAAAAACAAAACCCTCAATCTAATCATGGAAAAACATCAAACAAACTCTAATTGAGAACCATCCCATAAAACAACTAGCCAGTCCTCATCAAAAGTGTCAAGGTCGTGAAAACAAGATGAGGAGGAGGCACTGTCACAGATCAGGGAGACAACAAATAAATGCAATGTGGGATCCTGGAGCAAAAAAAAATGGAAAGAATAATGGCTGAAATTTGAATAAGGTCTAGAGTTTAATTAGCGGTGATATTATGGAAGATCTCTGTTCTGCTTCATATTTTATTTGTATTTCCTAAATTGAAAATACATTACTTTACAATAGAAAAAATATTTACTTTGTTACTTTTTCCTTCCTAGGTTTAATTTATTAAAACTTCTGAAGAGTGATCATAAAAGGATATGTGTCTGACAACCTACTGCTCATTTTGCTTCCCACTCACACCAGTCGAAGCTCTTGCCTTTAGCAATCTCCTTAGCATCCATTATACGAAAAAGGTGTGGACACCACAACTGCTATGTGAAAAGGGTTCTGTGGTCAAGGGCTGTCATCATGAGGTACGCAGCATTAGGGGAATAGGATCATGCGTGACTTTCTGCCCTATAGTTGTGAATAAGGTTTTAACAATATTTAAAAATATTTTTTAAATGAGATACAATATATTTCCACCCTGGGACCTAGCAATTCCACTTCTAGGTATTTACACTAGAACAAAAAATGAAGTATATCCATGATACATGCAACATGCATGAATCTCAAAATCTATTACACTGACCCAAAAAAGCCAGACAAAGAGTAGACATTGTATGATTTCATTTATATGATGTTCTGGAACTGACAAAACTAATATATGCTGAAAAAAATGAGAACAGCACTTGGAGGTTAAGGGGAGGATTAAAGAAAAAGGAGCACAAAAGAACTTCCTGGGAGATGATAGAAAAGTTCTGTTCTTTATCTTGATCACAGTCATAGTTACATGGCATATACATTTGTCAAGACTGATTAAATTACAGATCTTACTGTGCATTTTATTGGATGTAAGTTATGCCTCGATTTAAAACAAAGAGTATGGATGGGGAAAAAATGTAGCACAAAAATTTCATGTGTTAAAGTGGCCAGTAACCTAAGTCACAATTATCCACCTAATAAAATGTAAAGAATGTTGGGTGATTAAATAAAACAAAAGAAATTGACACATGTTACAGTATGGATGAACCCTGATGACACTACCCTAAAGTGAAAAAAGCCAGCCACAAAACAACAGATACTATATAATTCCATTTACATGAGGTACCCAAAGTGAAAGTGAAGGGTAGTCAAGTTCACGGAAACAGAAAGTAGGAAGGTGGTTGCCAGGGGCCGGGGGTAGATGAGGAAGATGAAAAAAAGTTCTAGAAATAGATGGTGGGGATGGTTGCACAACAATGTGAATGTACTTAATGCAACTGAATTGTTAAAATAAATTTTATATTATGTATATTTTACACCCCCCCTCAAGAAAAACACCCCAAAATAAAAACTCAGAAATTCCATTAGTCCACTTATCTTGTTGCTTAACTCCAAAGAATTGGAGATCTGCCCTGCTTGCATTCTTTGAAAAGTATCAATCATTCCTTTCTGAATCCTTCCAGGTATGAGCCAAAAGATAACAGTCTCTACACTTTTTTCTCATTTTATCTTAAATCTGAGATCTAAGCTGTCATAAAAGAAGTCAATGACACTTGTCTCCTTCAAAGCAATGGTCCCTAATCATTTAGAGGTTATTGATACGTCTGAAAAATCTGGTAAGTCACTTTATTACCTTCAGGTGACAGTTCTTCACCTGAAGGTAATAAAGCTGCTTCATGTGGTTTGTAAGTTAGGCTCTCAGAGTTTACATTTGAGAAGAACAAAGAACTGTATGTTATCAAATTATAAGCAGAAGTAGGAACTCAAGGCTTGCAAGCAAGTCAGGCAAAAGCATGCAAGTTTCAGCCCACCTGCCTTGGAAACACCCCACCCAATCCCCTGAACCTCGGGGTGACCAGCAGACTCAGCAGACCCAGGCTAATTCATCTGTCCGCCAAGATGGAACCAGGACATACCGGCACTCCCCACCGGGCTTACCTCATGCTGGGAATGGCGTGGTAGCCCAAACGGAAGCGGAGTTTGCTGGACCCAGCGAAGTCAGCAATCACTTTTTCCCCGACAGTGTGCATGTGTCTGAGGAGCTCAAGATGTTCTCTGGTCACAGCCTTCAGACTGGGAATGGAGGCCCAAGGTAAGACCAGCCAGTGGTAACGAGCCTTGGGGTATTTATCCTTTATCACCACCACCTGCTCATCTTTGTAAACCTAGCAGATGGGCACAAGAGGAGGAAACAGACGTCACCAGAACATCTTGTGTGTGCCAGGTACTGTCAGGTTCACTAACGTACTTAATTCCTGCCACAGTCCTGTGAAGAGGGTCTTAGGACCCCCATTTTGACAGATGAGAGCACAGAGACTCCGATGAGCTGCGTCATGCGCCAGGTCACACAGTCACCACGCGGGACGTCTAGAACGCCAACACGGGCCTAGTTGACTCCTGTCCGTGTTTTCAGTCACTATAACGCACAGAGCCCAGAAAAGAGGCACACTGCCAAACAGTTCCTGCGGAACTGATGCAAAGCCCCTGCAGGTCTCAATTCAAATCACTCTCCTCCACTCTAGCCCAGCACACCACATGACTCACACACACGTGTTCCAAGAAGCCCTATCAGATCTTGCCCCGTCATCCCAGGCTATAACTTAAGAACTCAGACCCCTCCTAGGATGATGTCTATTAATCCCAGGGCAGCCATAACTATAGTCACCATACAGTAACTGACACTCTGTTGAAAGGGACCACACTAAGTTTAACATAACGTCCCATAATAGTACCCAGAAGTTTAGGAGGAACAATGCAGAGAAGACACTCATTTGAAAAACTTAGCTTTCTCTCTAAAGAATTCCAGTTGTAACTTACTGACAATGAGAAAAGCCACTTGATCTCACAAAATAGCCTAGAGTAAAAATCTAGAGTAAAAATCTCATTCAGAAGGACTGATCTCCTTTGATTTCATTTGTAGCTATGACCTCTGTGGAGTGATTATTTACAATGTGAAAAGTATTCTGATGCTGAAATTTTAATCTGACCTGCATTTTGGGGTCCTCCATAGAAATCTTCAAGCCTTGACTCCAGTGGCCCAAGGATTCCTAAAACAAACAAAAAAAAGACAGTGTAAATTGCAAACAAGATGGTTAAATTTGCCATTAGTTAACACTGGATGTCAGCAAAGTCCAACCAAACTTGAAAGAAAGGTCAGTCTTTAAGAATTAAATTAATCCCTTTACCTCAATCTTTTCCTTTATAAACCATAAGCTATATCCATTCTCTTCCCATATTCAGAGTTGCATGTCTAGAAAAAAGGCTGGACATACCAGAGTGTGAATTGCATCTTCTTCCCCCCTCCCACTTCATCTACAGCCTAAGTTTCCATTTTGACATCAGGATGTGAATCACGGGATCTATGAAGAGTGTTGCAATGTTAACCTTGTACAGAGAAACAGATGACTGACCTATTTTAGTAGCTCAATGTGAAGCACACTGCCATCATCACCCTACCTTCAAGTGGCTTACCTCAGGAATTCAAGAGAAAAGTACACAAAGGGATATTCACCCCAGTGACTGGTGACATGAACAAGTGACTCTCTCATCATAATAATCCCTCATGCATGTCTGGGCTTGACTGCGTACAAAACAATTAAGCAATATTACATTTTATTTGCTCTCCCTGCCACCTGCCCAGCACTCTTCCCTCACCTTTCTGGTGGAGGCATCCTTCTCCTTCTTTGGAGGCATACAGCACTGGCGAGGGCTGCTCCCAGGTTCCAGTCCTGGGCGGGGCTCAGCTTCTGGGGCAGCACGCCTTTCTGCAGGATCGCTACTGCCTGACCTCCTTCTCTTCCTGTGTGTCTCCAGGCCAGGGATCTTTGTCTCTTCCTCAAACTCTATAATATACGGATAAAGTTCATTCACCAGGTAGAGGACCTGGCCAGGCTGCAGCTTCACCTCCTGGTCCTTCCCAATTATGACTGAGTCAATGCTGGTGGGATTGACCCCTACCTATGGAGTAATCAGAAAATGATTATAATAACAGTAGTAATATAACATCATTAGTAATACAGCTACTCCTATGTTCACCACTTACTACATGCCCAGTACTATGCTTAATATTCACTTCTGTTATTCTGTCACTTCCACACATGACCAGGGAGCCTTTACTGGCTGCCACAGACACTCTAAAGTCAACAGTGTAAGACAATCACCAAGTAGAACATGGAAATCCAAGATACAAACAGACATACCTGCTTTACTTTGACATAGCCTTTGTTACACTCTGCTTTCAACTGTACTGAAAGAGATTGAAAAAAGGTAAACCCAAATGCCATGAAGAACCAGCAACTTGTTCCTATTATCCCTACAAGACAATGAAGCCTCCCTCTAGGAAGCAATGTGACAAGGGTTTCCTCAAAGACCCATGAGCAAAATCATTCATTATTCAGGGGACTAGGGCTCCAGGTTCTTCCATACAGTACCCAACAGTGTGCACGCTCCCTCAAGCACTGCTAGTATCTCTATAAGGCAGAGTCACTGAATCCTCACAAGTCTCCCTAATTCAGAGCCCCTGACCCACTCGGGATTATAGGCTCTGAAATCAGGGAATGGAACCCAATTCCCTCACAAGCTCTTATAGCTCAGGATCAAATCAGACTTCTATTACATGGCATGATTGGAACCCTTCAACAGAGAAAGAGGTAAAAGATACATTCCTGGGAAACTGAAGTTCAGCTGGCCTTGGGTAGGAGGAGTGCAGAGACTATTCTAGAAAGAGGATTGCTGGGACAGAACAGTCTGAGCATGTGTGGGAAGAAGTTAACACCAAACATCTGGGTTCAGATATGTGAACAAAAAAATTCTGGCAAGAGACAGGGAGCAAAGGAGAGACATCCTAGCTTCTCTCCAGAGAGGACAGGCAGGGGATGGGCTGACATACACACCCCTACAGCTGCTGTCATGACAACGGGGACAGAGAGAAAGAAGTGATATCTTTTGCCCATTTATATTAACATGTGGGGAAAACTAGAATCACTGCTGCAGACTCCAAGTCTCAAGAATCCCTGCCACGGGGAACACACTGCAGGGGAGGCCTGGGAGCAGTGAGCACGTCTGGAGTTTACAGGTTAAAAAAAAAGAAAAAGAGGCACACGGTAAAAATTCTTCCTAAGGACTTTCATTTCATTAAATTCCAGAAAAGACAGTCCAAGAGCCAGGTGCCATCATCTTTTAAAGACAGCTCCCTCTGTGTATAGCAAAGTGTAAAGGATGAAACCATCACTTCTCAGACATGGTTTCAGCCTGGAAATCCCAGAATTCAGCTGTCTCCCTGCCCAATGAGGAACCTCCCTGGGCAAAGCAGAGCAAGGACTCAGCTCCACCACCCCACAGTCCAGGATGGAACCTGCCTGCGCCAACACTGAATATGAACCCACTTTCAGAGGGTGGAATCAGGAGTGCACAGAGCCCTGTTATCAGCCAAAAGAGCTCAGTTGCTGAGTTTTGATTTGGCACAGAAAAGGTTTTCATCAGTAGCATTCAGGGAAAGTGCATCTTTGATGATCACTATCTGAAGGAACCAAACACAGTAATCTCCACAATCCTGGGATCAATTACCTTGCTGTCGAGAACACTTCTTGTCGGTGATCTTGGTCTCTGGGCTGCGCCCAACCATGACTGCTTCCAAATGTGGGAGTTTGATTCGCTGGTGCCGGTTGTCCTGTCTCACCAGCCAGCACACCCGCGTCATTACTCTGAGTGACAAAACACAAGAGAAGCCCTGGAAAAACTAGAACTTGTCCTCCCGGGCCACACCCAGCACCAGCACACATGCCATTTCCCGGCTGCTCATTCTCGAGGCAAGTGGCTTCACCTCCCTAGTCTGAACTTCCTCACCTATAAAATGTGATAATAACAGGACTCATGCAGGAGTCGTGAGGATTAAAGAAGATAAAGTGGGTAACATATTTACTTCTGTGCCTGAATCATGTTATGCAATCAAATATTTGTTATGTTTTTTGATACACTGTGCATGCTGGACATTAAGCTACCTGCTGAGGATCAAAGAATGATGAAACACTGTCCCTACCCTTCAGGGGCCTAGAGTACAACAGGGCAGACTCATACACCAATTATTACAGCATAATGCAATGCCTACTATAAGCGAGTAGCCATATGGCCTTAGCCCTGGGAAAGGAATGACTGACTCCTGTAGGGAGTATCAAAAAAAAGCTTCACGAGGAAGGTATATTTACACTTGGGTTTAAAAGACAAGCTTGCCTGACAGAGAACTGAGGACATAAGAACAGAGGATGCTCTCCACAGGCATCAAGGTTTCTAGTCCTTAACTGTCATAACATACAGATGTTGGAACAATACATTGTACTGCCATCTGTCAGAAGATTGTCATAATAAATATATAAACCTACTATTTCTAAAGTGTGATTGTAGCACCTTTATTCGATACACAACCTGCACTGACACTACTACAGGTGCTGATACTTTTGTAAAACAACTTTCATGATGACATAGAGTTATCAGTAGACGAGAAAGAGAAGAAATGTGGGAGAGGGGAGAGGCCTGAACAAAGAGGATGAAGAGGAAAAAGCCAGGAAAAACTGTGAGGGTGACTTATTCCTGACTGCACTTGGGGAATAACAAGGGAGACAGCAACCAAGATGTTTAATTTGGAAATACTCATTAACCAAAATGAGGAATACACAGAAAACATAATTTGGGGATAAAAGATAAGTGAAGAAAGGATGATTTCAGATTGAAACACAGTTAGATTAAGTTGTCTATGGAAGATGCTAGAGTCACACTGGGATATACAGTATAAAGTTCAAAGAGGGGACGGGATGGGGGGATAATTTTTTTTTTGAGACTAAAAACTGTTTTATTTGGAGTCTTAGGAATTGCAATTTGGGAGACACAGTTTCAAGTAAACCTGAAAGTGTTTCAAGGAAGAGAGAGAATCAGAGGCTTATAAAGGCAAAGGTTGTTAAAGCTGTAAGAATTATGACCAGCTCTGACACAAAACAGAAACATTTGTCTTTAATTCAATGTATATATTTGAGAGGCATCAATATGTCACAGAAATTAGGATAAGAGGATGAGATCACCCAGGGAGGCAGAGCAGGGAACTGAGAGGGACAGGACTAGATCTTTGGGACGCTTCCCTCAGTTCCAGAAGCTTATCAATGCTCAAGCCTCTAATGTCCTCTCTCTGAGAAATGCCTTTTGCAGGCAAGGCAGCACTTAAACAGCCCCTCTGCACAAGCTTTGTGTCCAAAGGGAATGGAAAAGAAACCATATTTTCAAACATCGGAGTTTCATTACCATTTACAAAGATAGGATAATGCGAGTCAGAGTGAAAAAATGAGTGCTGAGGACACGCAGTCACATAAACTGAATCAATCAGGGCAGGCTTCGGAAACTGTGCAGGAGAAAAGGCCAAGAGGACTGATAAGGAAGAAAAGGAGTGGGAGTGGACATTCCATTTCAAAAAGCACTTACACATTGAAATGGACATTTTCCATTTCAAAATCTGTGACCGTACAGATTTCAATAGTGACAAGCCATGGGTGAGGGGTGAGCAGCCGACCTTAGTTGGCTGACCCAGAGGAACTGCCCCAGAGAGTCACCAAAACAAGGCAAAGGTGTTGAGAGAACAGTAATAGGCCATGAAATTTAACAATCCATTGGAGACCACTGCCAGGGTATGGGTTGCACAGCGAGGTGAAATGACGCTGTGTGTAGGCAGGCTGGAGTGCAGAAATCTAGAGTCAGCTATCAGTCAGGAGGCTGTTAATGTAATGTGGGCCAGTGTTAGGTCTAAGAGGCAGCTCCTCTGTGAAGAAGCTCATGCAAGAGCATGGAGAGTCAGCTGTAAATCTAAAATCCTTGACCCAGGGCGTCAAGTGATGATGGTGCTACAGGCAAGCCCCACTTTTAAATGCTATGTGCTCAAAGGGATCTCTGTTTGCACTTGATGGAAACTGATGAATGAGCAGTGAAGCACGTCTTCATTAAGCACTGGGAAACAAGTCATGTGGTGACTGATGACTCACAGGAATAATAAAAAGAGCCTGGAGAGAGAAGAGCTGAAGAGCAAGGACAGGAAGGAATCCAATGGGCAGCTGAGAACATGGTTGACTTTTAGAGGATAAGAGGAACTCCCCCTCCTGCCCTACACACACACACACTCAGGTGCTTCAGTCTCCCTAAGGTTCTGACGTTATAATGCTCCCATTTACTACTCCTTGAAAGACTGAAGCAGTGATGACACAATGCTTATGTAACTAACCTTAAGCAGTATCTTGGTCCATTTCAGCCTACAGTTCCAACTTCTAGGAATGAAGTATTTTAGAATATGGGGAGCACAAAAGATGGCTGTTTATGAATTGTCAATATAACCCATCCAGTAAAACCCCATAAACTGCCAGCTCTATGACAGCAAAAGTCTCACTGTACTGTATGATGCAGGTATACTATAATACATCATACCTGCCTTCGAGAGGCTGAGTCTTGTGGAGGACAGAGATTTGTTGCAGGACAACTGCAACAAAGGTGAAAGGTATAATGACTGGTCTATGAAAAGGGTTTTTGTGGGAGCACAAAGCTGGAATACTCAACCTAGCCTTGGAAAAAGGAGGTGTCAAGGAAGGTTTCCTGTAAGAGATGGGCCTAAAATGAGACTTATATGTGAACTGGGTTAATTAGGTCAAAGTGGGCAGCCTAATTAGCTGAGGAGCAGGAAGTGGAGGAAGGAATCAAAGATTCCAGTCAAAAGGAATAGGACAGTGCACACACATGAAGAAGCAGTTCAGGGCTGCTGCAACCTTTTAAAGTATGAGGTCCATATGAGGCTGAAGATGCAGGCAGGTCCAGATGAACCAGAGCCCTGGGTGATGGGTTGAGAAGCTCAAACTTTAGAAGGTCGAATGGGTTTTGCAATTTAGTAAACAATAAATATTTGCTTAATGAGAGAAAAGATAGGATGAATGAAAGGACAGATCTTTAAATATTATTAAGCAGGACTCTGACTCAGGTTTGTTTTCAAGGATCATTGGGAGGATGGTAGGTAGTGTAAAGAATAGTTTTGCAGGGAATTGATCTAGAGGCAGGGAAACCAGTTAAAAGGCCATCATATTTCAGGTGAAAGAAGGTTCAAAGTAAGACATTAATACAGACAAAAAAAGAACTGATTTGAGAAATACTTAGAGGGTAAAATCAACAAGACAGTGATGGATGTGCTAAGAGTAAGTGCAGAGAAGACAATATTTGAACAGTCCGTGGGACTAGCACTCGGAGGTGTCCAGCAGGGTAGCCAGAGGTGAGAATGAAACTCAGCAGAGGTCTAAGCTGACACTTTAATTGGGGAGCATACAGGAAGGAGTTAAAGCCATGCTAGTTGATGTGCTCATTCAAGCAGTGTGTACAGCATAAAAAGAACAGTGGGCCAAAGTCACAAGCCTTGGAAACACCCAACATTTTAGACAAGGAGGGAAGATTATCCACAGGAGAAATTACTGGTGAGGGAAGCTCTCAGGGGAAAAAAAGCTAAAATGTAAGCTCTTCAAGGGAAGGAGGCACTTTGATGTGTTCATCTGTATATCACAATAAATGTTTGTTGAATAAATCAGCTTAGTGTACTGTCTTGAAAAGCAAAGGAGTAAAAAGTACCACGTTTGAAAAGCAACAAAAGGATCCAGTAATGATCCAAAGTGTTAGTCACTCAGTCGTGTCCAACTCTTTGTGACCCTACTGTGATCCACCAGCCTCCTCTGTCCATGGAATTCTCCAAGCAAGAATACTGAAATGGGTTGCCAATCCTTTCTCCGGGGGATCTTCCGGACCCACGGATCGAATCCTGGTCTCCTGCACTGCAGGCAGATTGCTGTAGCCCACAAGGCTCCTCTGCCCACGGAATCTCCAAACAAGAATACTGAAACGCTTTGTCATTCCCTTCTCCAGTGGATCTGCCTAACCAAGGGATCGAACCCTGGTATCCTGCACTGTAGGCAGATTCTTTACCATCTGAGCCACCAGGGAAGTGTAATGATCAAAGAATGTATATTTGGTTTGATAATAAGTCACTAGTGACTACTGTATAAAATTTTAGGGGAATAATAGAACTGAAAGCCAGACCACAGAAGGGAATGAGAGGTGGGGTTGGATACAGAATTTAGAATGCTCTTTAAAACGTCTGGATAAGAAGAGAGTTACTGTATGCGAGCTAAAGGATAAGAAGAGAGTTACTGTATGCGAGCTAAAGGAAGATGGATCACCAGGAACTTTTTCTTCCTGGCTTGGGGGATAAGGAGCAGGGATCTGAGTAACCTGACCTTGTTTATACATGACTGGGACATAAACAAGGGAAGAAAAGACAAATGAAAGCACGGTTTCATGGGGAAAATATAAAAGAAAGGTCAGAAGTAAAGGTAAAGGAATTTGATCAGGAGACAGCTCATCCTCTGATATTGAAGGAAAGGTATAGATAGGTGGTATCAACCTTGATGAGTGTATGAAGAGAAAGCAAGGGTAGAAACTTGAGGAGAAGCACATCAGATAAGCTTAATTTTCTCCCTAAAATAGCAGATAACAACTGTGCACTTGAGAAACAGCTGAAGACAATCAATGTAAATTAGTGAACAACATCCAGACCTCTGAAATCCAACTGCTCGCGTTCAAATCTTCCCTCCACCACTACTCACTGTATAATTTGAGGCCAGTTATTTAAGCTAAGTC